GTTCGCATCCCTCATACAGACCAGTTCCCGCTCACTGGCTGAGCGAGGGGCGGGCGCAGCACCGAGGGTTGCGATCCCGTTGCCGGTCCCGGTCCGGTACGGGCGCGACACTGAGGGTTGCGGTCCGTTGCCGGACACGAAAAAAAAAAAAAAATAGTCACCAAAAAAATGAAATACCTAGGACTCAATTTAACCAAGGAGATGAAAGCTCTGTACAGTGAAAACTACAAATCACTGCTTAAAGAACTTAAAGAGAAAAAATATAGATGGAAAGATATTCCATCCTCTTGGATTGGAAGAATTAATATTGCGAAAATGTCCTTACTATCCAAAGCAATCTATAGGTTCAATGCAATCCCCATCAAAGCACCAATGTAATTCTTCACAGAAATAGAAAAAACAATCCCAGCATTCATATGGAACAACAAAAGACCCCAATTAGCCAAAGCAATCCTGAACAACAACAACAACAACAACAAAAAACCAGAGGCATAGCACTACCTGACTTCAAATTATAATACAAAGCTAATACTAACCAAAACAGCATGGTGCTGGCATAATAACAGGCACTCGGACCAATGCAACAGAATATAGAACCCAGAAATTGACCAACAGACTTACAGCCAACTCATCTTTGACAAAAGCAACACGAACATACATTGAGGAAAAGACTGCCTCTTCAATAAATGGTGCTGAGAAAACTGGAAATCCATATGTAGAAAAATGAAACTAGACCCATACACCTCACCATAAACCAAAATTAAGTCAAAATGGATTAAAGGCTTAAATATAAAATCCGAAACAATAAAACTCCTAAAAGAAAACAGAGGAAACACTTCAGGATATAGGACTGGGCAAAAACTTTATGAATAAAACCTCAAAAGCACAGGCAACAAAAGAAAAAATAAATAAATGGGATTATATCAAACTAAAAAGCTTCTGCACAGCAAAAGAAACAATTACCAGAGCAAAATGACAACATACAGAACCGAAGAAAATATTTGCAAATTTTGAATCCAAAAATGGATTAATGTCCAGATTATACTAATAACTGAAACAACTCAACAGTAAGAGAACAAGTGACCCTATTAAAAAATGTGCAAAGGATCTGAATAGACATTTCTCATATGAAGATATACAAATGGCCAACAGACACATAAATAACATGCTCAACATCACTTAGCATCAGGAAATTGCAAATCAAAACCACACTGAGATATCATCTCACCCCAGTGAGACTGGTTATTATCAAAAAGACAGAGAATAACAAATGCTGGTGACTATGTGGAGAAAGGGGAACCCTCTTACACTTTTGGCAGGACTGTAAATTGGTGCAGCCATTATGAAAAACAGTATGGAGGTTCCTCAAATAACTACAGATAGACCTACCATATGATCCAGCAATCCCACTGCTGGGTATATATCCAAAGGAACAGAAATCATCATGTCGAAGGGATACCTATACTCCCATGTTTATTGCAGCTCTATTTGCAATAGCCAAGAGTTGGAATCAGCCTAAATATCCATAAACAAACAACTGGATAAGGGAAATGTGGTATATATCCTCAATAGAATACTACTCTGCCATAAAACAGAATGAAATTCTGACATTTGCAACAACATGGATGAACTTAGAGAAAATTATGTTAAGTGAAATAAACCAGGCACAGAAAGAAATATGACATGCCCTCACTCATAAATGGGAGCCAAAATAAAGAAAAGAAAAGGAGAGGAAGAGAGAATGAGAGAGAGAGAGAGAGAGAGAGAGAGAGAGAGAGAGAGAGAGAGAGAGAGAGAGAAAGAAAGAAAAAGAAAGAAAGAAAAAGAAAGAAAGAAAAAGAAAGAAAGAAAGAAAGAAAGAAAGAAAGAAAGAAAGAAAGAAAGAAAGAAAGAAAGAAAGAAAGAAAGAAAGAAAGAAAGAAAGAAAGAAAGAAAAAGGAAGGAAGGAAAGAAGGAACAATCACAATAATGCATTGAACTTAAAGTGGCGGGGGAAGGAGGAGGGAATGGGAGGTTGCGGATATTTGGGTGGGGGACACCGGGTACAAGTGCAATTTGTGGTAATGGGTGTGCTGCCAGTATGAATCTGACCGTCACATCATGGGCACAAGGGGTGATAATATTTGTATCTCATGAATATTCATAACCAATAAAAAATAACCAAAGAGCAGAACTGTGGTTATTAGAGATGGGAAAGGGGGCGAGGGAAGGAAGTCAGTGAGAAAGTTAAGAGTCACGAAGATTGATTATGTTTTGTAAATATGAGTATACAAATTATCCTGATTTGATCACCACATATTGCACACATGTATTGATATTCAATTTTGTACCCCACAAATATATATAATCAACTATCTTTCAATACAAAATAAAATAAAGTAAAATAAAAAGAAACTAGAAAAGGTTGTTTTTTCAGAAGAAAAGGTAATGACATAGGAAAAAAAAGTAGTGGAAAAGGTTTTTGGCGAAGTTTATTCCTGATAATAAACAGGCATGCTGAATTAACATTCCTTGGGCTACTGCCGAATATGTGGGTGGTTCAACCACATTACTCCTTCCCCTAGATGTCCCAAACTGTATCTTATAGCTCAATCTTGGTGCCTATACCTCTTTTACAGGTGATGAGGGGTCCGATGAGGCCAGTTGCAATGTCTCGTGGAGCATCAACATGAGAATGGTAGATCCAGGTGAGGCATGCTGGGTCAGCATCAGTGGGTGCATGGCTTTCTGGAATGGTCCAGTTATAGATATGGCTGCCCCCCGGGGGAACAGAGTCATCAGCTTTCAGCCACCCAGAGGAGCCATCTGGGTATAGGGAGCCTAGAAAATAAAATTGCACACGTCCAGTCCCAGGGTGAGTGAAAGGGAGCATTGCAAATATAGAAGCGAAGAGAGGTTCAACATATGGGACACCTAGGTCCAGTTTTGTAGAATGTAGTGCTCTAAGGTCTAGCGTTGTGTTACTCGCAATCTGAAGAGGGCACAGATTCAAGTTACATTTAGCTAAAGAACCACAATCTTCATTTCGACATTGAGTAGAGAGGTAACAGTCACTGGGAAAGGAGCTGTGGTCAGGGAAAGTATTGCTTGGCCTGGTTTAGTAGTGCCCTTGTGCAAAACTGGTGATATGGAAGCAAGGGAGAATACAGAATTCCTACCATTCAAGCACTCACTTTGGAAAATGAAAAGCAGACAATCACAGGATTTCAGCCTAAAGACAACTTAATGATCATTGTGTCCTTGTGTCCACTTCCCCATTGTAAGGGGGAGAAAACTGAGGAAAAGTAACTTGCTCAAGGTCATATAGGGAGTTAGCAGCCACACCATGGTCTTGTAACTTCCGTTTCTATTCCCCTCACTAACTGTTGTGAGTATTACAGGCCATTGGATCTGAAATACTGGGAGATAATAGATAAATAAGCTGAACTCCTGCTGTAAAAAAAAAAAAAAAAAAAAATGGACCTTTAGGAAGACTGTGACACTAGAATAACACTCTCTTACATTAATAGCACACTCTTCTATTTTCAAAGCATATTAAAATATTCTACAGAACTGCTATTCAAGCATCGTCTCGTGATAAAAGGCAGATTGTATCTGTACATTCTTAATAAGGAATCTGAGGCCCAGAAAGGAGCAGTGACTTGCCCAAGTCACACAACATGTGAGCAGCAGATCTGATACCAGTACCCAGCCACATTACCTCTGAAGAGTCTTTGCCACTTCAGACCAGTAAGGGAGAAAAAGATTATCCTCACTCCTAGCTCCTCCTTCTCAGATGTCAGAATGGAAAGGTGATTTTTGTTGGGGTGGGAGAAAGAAAATGGCTGGTTTACCTTCTGAGTCCTTCTCATAGAAAACACCATGGGGGTGGATGGTATAGGGACGAGTGGCAAAATTCTTCAGGTGTATAAGGATGACATCCCCCACCTCAGCCTGCAAAACTGGCCCCAGGAAGCCCAACCAGGCAGGCTGGGCCACTTCATCCATGTATGAGTTGTCCCTATATTCCTTATAAATGGTCTTCTTGTATCTTCTCCCTATCCGGTTCTTGTCAGACTTTAGGAAGCTGGAAGCCACTCTGGGAAAGAAGAAAAGAGAGAGTCACAATTTTGCCACCATGTTCAAGCCTCTGGAGGTTTTTGTTTCAGAGGAGGCTGACCAAAAAGTGTTTATCTTTGTTTGGGACACAACAAAAGGAAATAGAATAGTACTGGTCATGAAAGCTTTAGATTTAACAGTTAGAAAATGGGAAGTAGTAACTTGAAGCATGAAATTGCTGATATTTGACAATTTTTAACCTACAAAAAAAGGAATTAATGCACTTTGACCCAATATATACCAATGGGGAGGACAACCAACTGTGGACTGACTTCTTAACTCAACTCCCCGTTGATATTGCCTGACTCAGCATTGCCCTACTATATATGGGAAGCCTTAGAGAATAGTGGTTATAACCACAAACTCTGGAGCCAGGCCACTTGGATTAAATGCCTACTCTGCTGCTTCTAAATTTGGGGGATATTGAGCAAGTTATTTAACTTATATGTGCACAATTTCCCCATTTATAAAATGGAGATAACATGGTACCACCAATGTTATGAGTGACTAAAAGAATTAAAATACATATAGATCTTAGGACAGTACCTGGAAAATAGTAAAAGCTCAATTAATATTGACTATTACTTCAAATTATTAGGGACGGAAGATAATGAAGTTATTCTCTCAAGGACAATTTTAATACAAGGACTCTGTGACTCCAAAACCAGATGAATAGTTTGTGTCCAAAAAGACAGAGCTATTATTCTTACTATAATTCTTCCTAGAGAGCTCAAAGATACCACAGTCACCTTTGGAAAACTTCAAAGGTTTGTACAGACAAAGTGAGTCATGGTCACAAAAGATTCTTTCATACATTCATTCATTTTTTTAACAGATATTTGTGGAGCCCCTGCGAGTTTCTAAGATCAAGGAGGGTTAATCCTGTGGGATCAATGAGAGGCAGAATGGTGAGAAGAGTACCAGCTTTACTCCGTATTAATCAGGTTCAAATCCCAGCTCTTTCTCTTACTATCTGGGACTTGGGCAAGTCACTTGACCTCCCTGAGTCTCAGTTTTCTCATTTGTAAAATAGGAATACTCACACTCACCTCCTCTAGTTTTTGTGAGAATTGAGACAAAATATGTAAATTTCTAGTATGGTGCCCCATCACAGAGTGTTACATAAGTGATGGCTATTACTGCTATTTCTTTGATTCTAAGGCTTACCTTATTTTTCCACATTTTCACATATCTGAAATCAGTAGAGTTCCACTGAACTGTGGTAGCATAGTTCCACTGCACACATCTTGCAAGCACTGTATGTATTTCATGTTTCTTTCTTTCTTAAGCCAAACAGCTGTTATTAATTCAGTATTGTGATATTATCTTAGAATCAAGGAAATATGGAATTATATTTAGGACCCTAAAAATGCTGAGGTACCTCAGCAGACTCCAGATGGAATGTTGGCTCCTATGTCAACTAGCCCTCTTCCCAGGAAACCTGCCATTGGGAGTATGGCCCAGAGAGATCAGGAGCTGACTGTTAGAGCCTCCTGGGAAAGGGCCCCCAAGAGGCTACATGCTGACCTCGAGTGTCCCCCCCCCCCAACTCCAGCTCTCAACCACAAGAGATTAAACCTACGTGTCACTGTCCAGAGGCTGGTTCATGATGACATTCCTTCCCTTGGGGGCATAGTTCCACTGCACGTCCCGGATGCCCAGGTAGTAGACTCGAGTAGCCCCGTCAGTCAGTTGGGGCCACAAGGATTGCATTAACAGCAAAGTCAACAAGAGGTGGCCTGGCTCCATGGCGTGAATTACTCTGGGAAACAGGCAAGCGAAAGCTGCTGGTGTGGAAGAAAGAGAACAAAGGGGCTTTTTATATGTCTGAAAAACTGAAGAGGCAAAAGCCAGAAACAAAACCCAATTAGCCCAGTTTTTTGTTGTTGTTGTTTTAACCTTACCTGATTCCTTTAAGTTCAACAAGCATTCAATGTTCTCTACACATCGGATTTTGAAGGGCAAAGTTAAACAGTCACTTGTGCTGATAAGCATGTATCACTTATCACTTCCTTCAGAAGAGAAATCTGGATCTAGTTCCTTCAGCGGTGTAAAAGAAAGAATGTACTCTGACCTAAGAATAAGGAAACAAACACCAGAAGCCTGATTGGTCCATTGATTCACTGAGTGCCTAAAGAAAGCCAACAATTCTCCCTTTGCTTCTGTTTTCCCATAGGCAAAAGGGGAAGACTCATTGTTGCCACTTTCCATCATCTACAAATTGTATTTAAAAACAAATTAGACTTCACCAAAAGACATTTACTGGAATATTCATAGACCTAAAATGTAAACAACCAAAATGTTCGTGAACACTAGAATGGCTGAGTAAATTACATTTTGGGTCTGTGAACAATATGGATGACTCTTACAAATTTAATACTGCAGAAAGAAAATAGACACAAGAAAGTATATACTGTATACTTTCATTTATGCAAGGTACAAAATCAGGCAACCTCGAGGTGGGGATCAGTGACTGGGAAGGGAGGAGGAGGAAGGCTTCTAGGTAATGTTCTGTTTCTTGATCTACATGCTAGTTGTATGGGTATGTTCAGTTTGGGAAAATACATTAAGCTATAGACTTAGGATTTGTGCACTTTCTGCATGTGTATTATACTTCAAAAAAAGTTAAAAATGAAACAAAAAAAATTGAGTGTATGTGAGCAAAATATTTTGAACTTCTCAGAAGAAATGTTCTCTGCTGGTTCCCAAGGCTATGCACAAACAATTTACAGATCCAATTCTAAATCATAACCAGACCCAACTCTAGCCTCTCATTTCTGTGCATAAGCCAGAAGGTTAGACTTCTTGGGGCTGAGATAAAGCACACAGTCATACCATACATAGCTACAAACCCAGAAACACAGACATCATCACATAAACACACATATACATACACTTGCATATACTGGCACATGCAGTCTTACCTGAAAGCAGAGATGCACATACTTGCGTTCACACATAGAACAACACTGTCACACAGAGCCATAGTAAACTTAGTAAGCCTTAATAAATTTTTAATAAAATTATTATTCAGAGTAATAATAATAAAAATAAACCTATATTTATTGTGTGTGCATAGTGCACTTGTTCTAAGTGTTTTACATAGATTAAATCATTTAATCCTCACAACCACCCTGTGAAGTAGATGCCATTATTATCCCCATACTACAGTGGAGAAACTGCAAAGTAGAAGTGTAAAGTAATTGCCCAAGCCATCGAGTTAACAGTTAGCAAAGTTAGAATTTGAGCCCAGGAAGTATAGCTTCAGCCTCTATGATCTTAATTACTCTGCTATATTACCTTACAAAAAAACATACTCGAACACGCACATGTACATACACATAGAATACGCATATGCCCATAGCTATAGCCATTCCTAGGAAAAAACACATACACTCTGAAATATGCAATTACATGGTGTTAGAAACAGATGTACATACTCACACAGGCAGAGATGCATCTAATTGATTGCATTCATGATAATAACAAAGATGATGGCAGCTACCACTTATTGACAGATTACTACACAGTAAACACCATGTTCAGTATTTTATATAAGTTATTTCACTAAATTCTCAACTCAAGCACATGATGTAGGCACTATTAATCAAAAATAGAGATTTAAAGACATGCACAGACTCATATATAGACAGGAAATTCCCAGAAACGTCCCCCAGCTAAGCCCAGATATTTACTCTGATTAAGAAACAGACCTATAGACTTTCTTACAAACTCTCAGGTCCCTCCACACACAGCAGTGACCCAAGTGTTCATCCCCGGTCTCAATGTTACACTTGGCAGAAAGCCCTTTATGTAAAAGAGGACCTGTTTTGGGTTTCTTCTTTCCAAAACCTGGCTCTCCACTGACCAGTCGTGTAGGCTTAAGTATAATTTAACTACTCTGAAACTATTTTCTCGTATGTAAAGTAGTTTTAATAATATCAGCCTTGGAGAAATAAACCAGAAAGCTTACATGAAAGGGCCTCAGTATAATCAGTGTTTGATACATAGCAGACAGTAACTTTTAGTTCCCTTCCTCTTCTTTCCCTCCTGGCTACAGTTTATTAATTTATCCTTACTGTTTCCCACACACCACACTTTCTGTATTTCTACTCCAAGGGCCAAATTAAATACCAACTGCTCCAGAAGGCCACCTCTGAACTTTCCATATCACTGTCCTCTGCAGGACTACTTACTCTCTATAGCACCCAATTGGATTAAGTCAGAATTTGTATTATTGTTACATGTCTGTCTCATGAGCTGCCTTGTGAATTGTCTTTTTCTCCCTGATTGTCCCATAAACTCCTTGATAGTGGATGTCATGTCTTAGTGGTCTCTTTGTATCTATTACCAGATGTGGTGATGGGGGCCCAGTAGGTGGGCCATAACAGCTAATGCTAAAGTGACATAAAGAGGCAGAAGCATACAGTATCCCACCATCTGGCTCTAGTTCAAGTTCTACCACTGGTTCAAAGAGTGACTTTAGCCAAGTTTCTTTATTTTAGTGAGCTTCAGTTTCCTCATCTGTAAAATAATGGATTATATAGATCTGGACTATATAGTTCTTACCTTTTAAGGGTTATGGAACTTTGATAATGTAATGAAGTGCACAAATGCAGAACTACAAAACATGGTATATAAAGAGCTCTCAAAGAGTCCTATCAGCTTTCACATGCTGCCAAAACTTGCATTTATTGATGAAACACAGGTACACTCACATGCACCTACATACAGTACCATATGTGGTCACACAAATAGCCATGTCTTGGAACCTTCAACAGGGAGGAAGTGTCCTTGGTTCACTGCAAATCTGAATGCAACATGGACCTTCTTCAAGCTTTTTTCTCAGAGAGGTGTCAGCAAGGCAGTTGTGCCTTGAACTCATATATCTACAGAGAAAACTGTCCCAGGTAAGAGCTTTGCAACTGGAGAAGCACATGGTAAACTTGGAAATGTTCCCCGGAGAGACTAATACAGACCTTCGGCATACGAATGAGTAAGTATTCAAAGGTGGTGACTAATGGCCCTAAAAGCTTAGACAATGAAACCTGGGAAAAAATGCTAGCTAAAATTCACCTATCGGTTTCCACTGTATAATGTGTTTTTTCATATCTGCCATCTAATTTAATTCTCAAAATCTTGTGAGATAAAGATTGCTTTCACGATTTTGCATCTAAGTCATAAGGCTTGGAATCAAACTACCTAAAAGAACCCTGGCTCCAGTTTTCCTAGCTGTGTGACTTGGGAAACTGCTCCATTTCTCTAGCCATCATGTCCACATCTTTAAAATGGAATTAATACTATTAGCTACCTCATGAGTTGTTGCGAATATTAAATCATAAAACACAAATAGGTGCTTAAATGCACAAGTAAGTGATCAAAAAGTATTAGTGGTTATTAATACTACAGAAAAGAAAATAAATTTAGAAATAAAATTTGCCAGGGTCACAAAGCTTTACCAATTTTATGGGTAGCCACGAACATGTATACACTTATAATTTCCCACATATGAGTAGTCTTCAAAAAGTCAATGGAAAGATTCATATTGTATTTTAATTCTATTTTTCCATGAACATTTTGAAGTACCCTCATACAGTGGCACATACTAAGCATACAGGCACATGTACATGGGTATGAGAATGCACACACCCCAGGCTGAGACCATTCTCTTCTTGAAAGCAACATGGTATAATATAGAGAATCAGAACTTTTGAGTCAGACAAACTTAGGTCTGAGTAATGTCTTTAGTTGTGTTTAAATGAGATAACTTTGTATAGCACTTAAGACTTATCAGGTACCTGAAAAATATTAATTCTCTTTCCTTTTAATTAGTGACTTCCCTTCTTTCTTCCCCAAATTTGAATTTGCCATTGCTATTGTTGTTGTTTAATTTGATTTTGTCATTCACTATAAGAGCAAGAGAAAGGTAGAACCCATAAAATTCCTTTGGGACTACCTGGATATTTCATGGTAAAGCAGAAAGAGTTCAGGTTTCAGAAAAAAATAGGTTCTAGTTCTAGATTCATCGTTTATTGGTCATGTGACCTTGAACAAGCCACCTAATTTCCTGAACCCCAGTTTTCTCATCTCTTAAAGGGAAATAGTGTCAGCTTTGAGCCCCTCATTAGTTTGTTAGGAAAATCAAATGAGGTGAAAGAAGTGAGGGCCGTTTACACACTTTTTACTTGGGCAAGGGCATTTTTCTCTCACCTGAGTCCACAGAGAAGGGGCACACTAATGAGGGAAAAGAAAAGGAGGAGGGAAAAGGAAAAATGAAATAAGTAAGATGAGCAAGAGTCCTGGGAAAAAGTAAAAAGAAAATTAAAAAATAAATAAAATAAAAGGCAGAAGGAAGAGGCACTCAAAAGAAGGAAAAGAGAAAGAGAATTTCTGGGCTACTTGGAATTAGTTTAGTTAATGTACATTAAAATCTTGCTCCAGCCTTGGAAGAAGTTTGGCCAGCATTTAGTCAAACCTTCCCTACCTTTACCTTACCTTTCTGTCATACCAGTGTGACCTGGGCCTGGTCCCCATCATCCTTGACAATTTGCATCGCCACTTTCTGTAAAATTTGCAAGTTGTTCCTTTAATGTGACGATGTTCTTTTCTCTCCCTCCATCTCCCTTCCTGAGTTGGGCTAGACTGGACTGGACAGGCTCATCCTAGACAAAGGATCACTCAACTAAATAAAAGAATGCTGAGCTATCCTGAGGATCTGCCTGCAATCTCTCATCAGCCTTTCTAAAAGAACCGTCCATCAAGATTCGCCTTTTGGT